GGGAGAAAAGAGGGGAAGAGGGAGGTGAGGGGCGCCAGGGGGGGGGGAGCGGGGGAGGGGAGCAGCACAGACAAACGGAGAGGAGAAAGAACGCACCGCCAATGACTACAATAAGAATCAGTGAGGGAGAATGGGAGTGAGTGGCGAGACAGATAGGAGGTGTTGCCGGGTTCGAACCCTGAGAGCTATGGGCGGCTGAGACACGACAAGAGCCACCAGCGCAAGAGGGTCGACATCAGCAGCGACAACTACAATAGCGTGTCACATGGCTTGAAACCTCATCTGAATGAAACAAAAAAGAAAAAAATTGAATGCCACAAAACTGGCTGCCCTGGCTGAATCTGGACAGAAAAGCAAACGAACTAGACAAAATCCTCGTACCCATGCTTGACCGTACTGACGGAGCCTGTACCATTCTGTCATTTGGGAGGCAGCTTCGGAGTCAACCCTCTAGCAGTAACTTTGCCTCCGCCACTCTCACCCTGTACTCACCACCTACATTTTCTAGAAGATCTCTGCTAGTCAAACACACCGCACAGTGACAAATAAATTGAAATACAAGACAACAGGGATTTAGCCTTACCATTTAGGAGAAACCTGTGCCTCCTCTCATATCTTCACCCACATCCACCCTTGTACAGATAGGAGGCAGCTATGGTGTCAACCACAACTGACAGGGAAGCAGATTTGGTGTCAATCCCTGTTACCAGCAACCCACTTTCCACCTGTCTGTGCTTCATTTGCTCTTCATTTTGCACAACCCCAAGAGGAACACTGCAAGTTCCCCATCCAGCCGCCGCCATCACGCAAATGCCTAAATCTCCAATCCCCACCTAACTGCTCACTGTCCACTCATCCTATTGTTCGGGAGGCAACAAATGTGCCTATCCCCCAAACAAGGGGAGGCACTTTGGTGTCAATCTCCTAACAGAAAACATTATCTCTATTATCCCTATCCCTCTGTTCGCAACATTATCCCTGGAGATCTCTGCAACTTTTAAACCCTGCCCACTCATAGGTGAGAGAGGAACTTTGCTACATCCCGCAGAACCAAGCGCCATGTACGGATGACAAGTGAAATATCCCAGTTTATCACAACATCATGCAATCCAGAGCCAACACATATATCACGAGGCATAACCTGCTACCTTACACCCGTGTTGACACTTCATCTGTTGCATGCTGCGCCTGCACACGGGCCCCATTTGAGGGGCCCGACGGTTGCTGAGGGGCCCCCAGGCCGCATACCATACAGCACGCGTCCTGGAGGCCCACGGCGGCCCTTCAGGCCCTGGGTAGCACACTAGTTAGAATAGGTTAGTTTACTCACCTTTCTGTGTGTGTGTGCTGTCTTACCTTGTCTGTCAGGTGCCGTTTCGGACTTGCAGCCCCAAGGCTGGACCTTGGGACTGGGTACACCGGAGGCAGGCCCGAAACGAGGCCAGGCGCATTTTGGTGCCAGACCGGTAAGTGCAGGCGTCGTTTTGGTCCTGCAGGACCCAAGGCAACGCCTTGGGCTAGGTGCACTGGTACCAGACCGTTTTTAGGCCAGGCGCATTTCTGCGCCTTGCTGCATTCGTAGCATGGTCTGGACGTCCGGTAGGGACCCAGACCAGCTGGGCCGTTTCTGCGGCCAGCAGCAGGTAGGCCCAGCCTGCCCAGCGCTACAAATAGCTGGGCAGCGGCTGGGCAAAGACAGTTCGAGTAGCTCACTTCTGGAGCGACACGCTGCTGGTTGAAGCAGCGTTATTCTGCGCCAAGCTACGAAGTAGGGAGTAGCGGAGTAGGTAGTGGAGAGAGGCAGAGGCCTTACCTGCGAGCGACGAACTTACCTGGCGCCATAGCTGGGACTCCGCGCGGTACCTGCACACGACAACGACCATGGTCAGTACGGTGACAGCTACCTGCAGGTGAGATAGCAAGGAGGATGTCATCTTCTTCTTCTTCCTCCTCCATCTCTCTCTCTCCTTTCTCCTTCCTCTTCCTCTTTCTTACCTTCTTCTTCATCTATGAGAGTGAGAGAG